GGAGCTTTCTAAATCATCATATCGGTGGTATTCTGCTAATCTTTTCTTCAAAATCTTATATTTTCTGGTGACTTGTTGGATGACGAGCTGCAAGTGACCATAGATGACAATATTTGTTATATCCATCGAGATTGCCAACTCTAACCCGGTGATTAGTGTTGCATAGTCTACTTCATTGTTGGTGCAGCGCTCTATCAGGTACTAGGAGAATCTCAACATGCCCTTATCTGGCGTGATAAACATTAAACCATTTCCTTACTTTATAATTATTTCTGATCCTTTATCTTTTATGGTTGATGAAGCTCCACCAAAGTACATCTCCCAACGTTGCGCATTGGAGAATTCCATTTGTAATACTTGTTCATCTAGTAACTCATCATTTAGTGGGAACATAGTTGGAAGTGGGTGTACTGTGAGAAAATATGGTAAAATATGTCCCTTGATGGATAGGAACAAAAGTTATATCAAATTGCAATAAAATCATTGAACATCTTGCTAGACGTCTGGAAAGTGTTGGATGGGTGATCAAATATTGCAATGGATTAACTTGTAAAATAGGGGTAATTTTATGAGAGGGCATGTAATGCCTAATCTTTTGGGCGGCAAAAATTTAAGCAAAATAGAGCTTCTCAATAGGCTGATACTTTACCTCTTTCAGTATTAGACGGCGACTCAAGTAGTAGAGTGTGTTTTCCTTACCCTTGTTATTGACCTGAGCAAACAGGGCTCCAAGAGAGTCATTTAAGGCCATGCTACAAGGTGCCAAAGATTTTCTCGGGATAGGGGCTGCCAAAATAGGAGGTGTCATTAAGTATTTTTTGACTTCCTCAAAGGCCCGCTGGCATTTCTCTACTCAAATGAATTTGGCATCCTTTTTAATTAATGCCGAGAAGGACTGACACCTACCTCAAAGATTAGAGATTAAGCAACCCAAATATGCCAACCTTTCCTGGAAGGAGCGTAGTTGTTTCAATTTTTTGGGAGAAGGCATTTCCAAGATAGTTTTAATCTTATTTGGGTCATTCTCAATTCGCCAATGACGGACAACAAATTCTAGAAACTTTCTGGAGGTGACGCCGAAGGCACACTTTAAGGGATTCATTTTGAGATGATATTGTCATAATTATCGAAAACGATCCTCAAATCATACACATAGTCTATTTTTTGTTTGCTCCCAATGAACAAATCCTCCACTTACAACTTCACTTGGTTGTGAATGTGGTCGTCAAAGATCTTCATCATAGCTTGTTGATATGTTGCTCCGACATTCTTTAATCTGAAGGGCATCACTGTGTAGCAAAAGATCCCAATCTGCGTCCTGAAAGTTGTAAGTGTTGCATCCTTTGAAGCCATTTTGATTTGATTATATCCTGATGCTCCATCCATGAAGGAGAAAATCTCATGTGTCAAAGGGATGTCCACCATCATTGCTGGTATTGACAACAAAAATTTGTCTTTTGGACTGGCTATGTTCAAATCCCTAAACTTGACACAAACATGGATTAGTCCACTTTTCTTCCTAACTAGCACAATATTGGCTAACCATGTGGGCTACTACTCTTCTCTTAAAAATTTAGCCTCTACTAATTTCTTCACTTTGGAACTGACTTGTTGCTCTATCTCAAGGCACATTCTTCTGGGAAATAGTTTTACCAGGGTCATATCTCTGTCCACCCCTAGCCTATGCACTGCGATTTCTGGGGATAATTCTTCCATTTCATCATAGCTCCAAGCGAAGCAATCCTTAAATTCTAACAATAATTTGACTAATTTTGTGGATTCTTCCTCATTGAGTAAGGAACTTATAAAGGTAGGTCGAGGCTACTCCTCAGTCCCTAGGTTAATTTCCTTCAATTCATTAATAGTTGATTCAATTTCTTCCTCAAATTCTAGCGGGGCATTTACTATTAACTAATCTTGAGAAACATCCTCTACATTGAGGTATTCCTCTTCTGATTCACTAGCAACAACCATACAATATTCTGAATCAGCGACTGGTCCTAACGTACCAAATCTGAGACCCTCTTTCGAGTTCAGAGTTTGACTTTTAATATTCCATAACTTTTCAAAAAGTTGTAACTTATCTTTTGGCATTTATTTTGGAAAATATCCCTTTTGAATTAACTTTTGTACACAAGGACAAAAGTAACCAAAAGTTAATTCCATTAATTCATTAGAATCCTCATCCATATTTACATAATTTTTTAGATCAGCAGAAGTAGAAGCATGGTAAAATTTGATCGGCTTTAAACCAACGCTATAAACTTCCTCGACCTCTAAACTCTCAACCTTTTGAGGGGGAATTAGAGTAAGGGTTATGACATTCACATAGGGGTTGATTCAATAATACATCAACTCATATTCACTTTTCTCCACATCTTCAAAGGATATCTCATACTATGGTTTCTTCTATTTTATAATCATCATTTCCTCTTCGGAGCTTTCTAAATCATCATTGTTGATGGTCTTCTTTAGGGGTGTAAACGAACCGAACACGAACGAACAAAGCTTGTGTTCGTGTTCGGTTCGTTTAAAATTTAGTTTGTTTGAAATAAGCTCGTGTTCGTTTCTTAACGAACGAGCCGAACACGAACCGAACACGAACCAAACACGTGCTGTTCGCGAACGACGAGCCAGTTTGACATCCCTAATATTAATATATAAAAATAATATTATATATTAATTATATAACTTATATTATATAAATATACAATATCTATATTAGTATATTACTACTATAGTATATTAATATATTATTATTATTATTTTATTATATATTATAATTTATAAAATTTAATGTTTTAAAATATAATAAATTTTTTATATATAATTATTTTATATTATTTTATATTTCAAACAATAACGATTCGAACACGAACGAACGCATCACTGTTTGTGTTTGGTTCGTTTAACTAACCGAACGAAAAAAATTTGTTCGCGTTTGTCTCGTTTACTTATCGAACGAATCGAACACGAACTCATTGACGAACCGAACACGAACTGTTCGCGAACAACGAGCTTTTTTGACAGCCCTACATATAAGTATAAAATATTTAACAAGTTACTTGTCAAACAACAAGTAAATTTGTTTATAAACATTAACAAACGAGTTGGACTATGTTCAAATTTGATTCATTTAAGCACCAAGTTTTTAAAAAATATTCAAATTCTTTTATTTACTAATTTGAAAAAACATGATCGAGTATTAATCGAAGCAAGTTCAAACTAGTTAAAATCAAGTGCATTAGTTCATTTACAACCTTACCTATAAGGGATATACAACATTACAATAGATTTTGTTAAAACCAATATCATTCCCTTTGGCCATCCTATAGAATGCAAGCAAAATAATATGAAACATAGTGACACCAAGTGAAAGAACTCTTAGCAAAGGGCCTCATTTACAAGAATATCAATCCATGCAGTATACTTATTTTACTAGTTCCAAGCTAACAGCCTATTAGTAGCCCAATCTAGTTTTGATGAGCTAAAGCGAACAGTTACTAAAGCTCCAGTGTTAGCTCTGCCCAATTTTAATTGTATCTTTGAAGTTAATTGTGATGCATACAATATGAAAATTGGCGCATTTTGACAAACAATAGGCACTCGATTGGAAATTTTAGTGTGAAATTAAATGAACAGCAACACAAATATTACACATAACATGAAGAATTCGTTGCCATAATTTTTGCCTCAAAACATTATAATTATTATCTTTACAGGTGAGTTTATTTAGTATTACAATCATGAAGCTCTAAATTCCTCCATAAGGGTAGACGTGCTAAGTTGGTCAAATTTCTTTCATCTTTTCCTTATGTCTTAAAGCATAAACTTGATATACAAAACAAGGTGGTGAATCCAACAAAAAAAAAACGAGGTTGTGAATCCCTTAGTCGTTGACATTCCCTACTTAGCACCCTTCAGTCCAAGATTGCTAGTTTTGAGACATAAAGATCTTTACCCAAATGATCTAAATTTTGGAAAGAAAAGACAATTATGACAATGAACCAACTTTCCAATATCAAGCCGGCCTTTTTTTTTTTTTTTTTTGAAATTGTATTTGTATTCCATAAAGTTCTATGCAATACTGCTTTTTATTTGAGTGCCACGAAGGTGGGGCTGGATGGATATTTTGAATGTGATGAGACTACCGCCTTGGTTCAGGAGAATTTTTATTGGCTACATCCTCTAAAATCTGTATGAACTCTCACCAAACTTGGCTGTATGATCAAATATCGTAGGAATCAAAACTTGCAATTAATATAAATCAGTAGCAGCATAAATTTAACAACTACTCAACCCAATCACTTAACTGAACCACATCAAGGATGTCACGACAATAGAAAATAGATCCTGCTCTCATAGGCCACATCATTGCATGCATATGTAAAGAAAAATAAAAAATAAAAAATAACAAAATCAAATTGAAAACCACAATAAAATAATTACCAAATAATGAAAGTAAAACTAACTCGCTAGGATCATTTGTGTACTCAAAATTCTTACGTAGTACAAACTAGAAAAATTCAATCAACAATCAAACCAGGAATGAACATAACAGAGCTTCCAATTTTCTGCACATTTACTAGCAGTTTAATAATTAAAAGTTAGATGAGGTATACTCTGCAATCCAAGCTTACAAATCTAAGATCTCCCAAAAGTTCTGTATCAACAAATCAATCCAAATAATAAACAACAAAATTCAGCACAGTTGACACATGGGCACCAATACTATAAATACTGCAATGTAACTCAAATCAATCTGGAAAGTTGCAATAAACTCAGAAAACTCGAAAAAGTTAAGAAAGCCAGATTTGATACCATGTAAGAAGAAAAATACCCTTACACCGGTAGAGCTTGCCAATGTTCAGCAATGCATTGGTCATCATTCTAAAGCGTACTTCTGCACCTACAAAATCCAGTAGATGGTTTTACACAATGCTCAGAATAGAAGAAGAAATCATCATCATCATTAGCTATATCCCTACTATTTGTTATCAACTTTAAAACCTATCTGTTTTCATTATTTCTATTGAGTGTGAAAAAATACACATATCGCCTAAGGTCTGTTCCTACACTCTTTTGAACCCTTAGATATTCAAAACCACGATAAATCCGATATAAAAAAATGCATTAGTTTGCAACCGACAAGGCAAGTCCTATAAAGATAATTTACCGATCAAAATTGCACGCTGGTTTTATTGCTTAAGTTCCATACCCTTTTTAAAAGATACAAGTTTTAACGAAAACTAAGGTTCAGCAAAAAAAAGTGAAGAACGATAACTCAAACAACAAAAAATAACCGAAGTCAGAAAGAGGCACAAAAAGGCACAAAAAGTACAAGGCCCAGGGAGAATTTCTTCAAAGAATATGCCTAACAAAAAAGACTACCTCAAGCATATTTTCATCAGTCGAAAGCTTTGAACCCACGCCATTTATCTCTCTTGAACCATCATAATGAAGAATTCTAAGCTTTCCTTCCTGCATTTTCATCATAATAATCATCATAATTTAAAAAATAATTAAGCGAACAAAAAAACAAAATTGTTGCATGTCATAGTACCTTAGTTCCATAAACAAGACCTCCTCCAGGAAGAGGATGAAAACATGCAACATTAACCTCATCTTCAGCACTGGGAAGAACTCTAACAAGCTCCATATCTGAAACTCTATAAACCTATAAACATCACACCAGGAACAAATTACAAAGCTTGATAATGTGAATAAAAGCAACAAGGCTCTCTTTTCACAGAAAATATATTCAATTCAAGGAAAAAATCAACACATAAAATGCAATTTAAGAAAGAACATTGTAATTATAACATAATCAATTCAAGCAATGTGCACGGGAACTAAATAGCAGCATCTAGCCCATCCTATAATTTTTCAGTCTAAGGAATATTTTCATAAACTTCTATCCGGCTCTGACCAACAAACACGTTATTTTTCACGTGAAAGCTCACAAAATCACCAGAAATATGTCTTTGACACTTTCTGGAGGTAATTTTAACACTGTAGAACGGTATGTTTGCAAACCAGCAGTGTCTAGATGAATATGTCTTTATGTTGATTTCAATAAAGCCTAAGGTAATCCCAGACCTAAGAAATAATTGCAAGCAAATTCATTCCTCAGTAATGATAGAAATGCTAAGGATGATGCCCAATATGCATACAATATCCAGAAGACTTCAGTTATGGAAATGAATTATTCACACAAATAGATGAATGGCATCAAATTCAAAAAGCAAAACCATAATTGAAGAAATTTGATATTAGAATAAAACAGCATAAAAGAGCATCCAATAAATAGTTTTGCGGATTGAAATAGCTGCATTGTAAACAGTGTTGTAGGATATTGATACCTCCAAGATCGTGTAGATGGGGATTGCAGTGTCTCCATTAATGACAATGCTTCTAAGAAGTGAACTATGGCGGCGTCCATATGCCAGTAGTATGTGCTCTGATGTCGGAGAGAACTGGGGAGGAAAAGCTCAAGAAAGATGGCCATGAGAGACTTGATGCAAAACAAAAAACAAAGCAAAAGATGCAATATTTAAGAATGCAAATAACAGTTGGGTTGCGTTTATAGATGATGCTTTTACCATACTGATTTCATGGGTAAATTTAAGCTATCAATAGTTGAAATTAAATCCAATAACAAAGCCAAATTGAAAATTTTAGGCTCGACAGTTTAGGCAAACTAAAATTTGAATGCAAAACCCTAAAATGATAAAAATGGTTCTACCTTGAACGTTCAAATTTTAACAACAAATCAAAATAAATGCTCAAGTTGCTAGGATAACAACAGAAGTACTCAGACATATAAGTTATTTTTTTATCATAATGCAATGTTACTCATCACAGTTAAGATGACAAATGAATAAAGTCAGAAAGGATTCAATTAACCATCAAGAAATGCAACTAAGCAATTGGTGATGACATGAAAGCACTTTGAATTTGATAATCATTAGCGGTCATTCAAGAAATTATGACTAATGCTGTAATTTATCTCTGAATGATTATCAATAGTGGATGCGACTATTTCTCAAAACCATGCAAACAATATAACGAAAGCAATCGATATGAATTTTTCCAGTCTAGTTCTATGACGTCTCTTCCTATTAATGGTCTACTTAGAATCAATCACTACAAAGATGCTAATTTCTACAACATCCACAACAAATCTATGATAGGCACGTGGTATACAAGAGAGCATTGACATCTCGTTTAACTGATGGAGCAAATTTTAAGAAAGGAGAAATGAGAAAATCTATGCACCTCAAAAAAAAAAAGATATTGATATGCATTTTTCTAGTCTACTTCTATGACGCATCTTCGTATTAATGATCTAGTTTGAATCATTCACTACAAAGTTCCTGAATTCTACAACAGCCACAACAAATCTAGGATAGGTACTTGGTATACAAGAGAGCATTAACATCTAGTTTAACTGATGGAGAAAATTTTAAAAAGGAGAAATGAGGAAATCTATGCACCTCAAAAAAAAAAAGAACTATTGATATGCATTTTTCAAGTCTACTTCTATGATGTTTCTTCGTATTAATGATCTACTTAGAATCATTCGCTAGAAAGATGTTAATTTCTACAACATATACAACACATCTATGATAGGCACAGGGTATACAAGGGAGCATTAACATCTAGTTTAACTGACAGAGAAAATTTTAAAAAAGGAGAAATGAGTAAATCAATGCACCTCAAAACAAAGCTAGCTAAAGTAATAAGGAAGAGCTTTCATTATTTTGATCTTCAAAAATCATATCAGAAATAAAATAAAAAGCGTACACAAAACAGTAAGACGGGCTCCCAACCTGAATAGATGTCAAACAATGAGCAGCTCGTATCGCTCTAGAAGCTAACACTGAACCAAATCTGCCATCCAAATTGGACAAATCAAGATGCAGTTAATATTATTTTTAACTAGTAACAGCAAATTCAAGTGCATCAACAAAAAAAGCTCTGAAAGCTTACGTTGCCTCTTCAAGTGAATAGATGCGAAGCTCATACATGACCTGGTGTGCAGAAATTGGATGGCGTGTAGGAGATGTTGTAACATCAACAGCATAAAGGCTTACCTGTGATTGAAGTCCAGAATCACCTTCCAAGTCAGGTAGCATGCATGCAACACAAGCTACCAAGAACCTCCCACAAGGTGAAAAATGGGCACCCATTTCACTGAAATCATCAGACATTCAAGCACATGAGTATGCTGAAATTCCTATATAAGATCAATGAACCATACTTATATAGGATTAAACTAAGCGAAATTTACAGACTTGGCACGCAATTCTTACGTATTTTCATGCCTCAAACCTAAACTTTATATTACACACACAGCACTTTGGTAATTTAAAATTATGCATGAAAAGTTGTATTCACCTTTAAAGAGTGCTGATAGAGCTATATTTGATGTGATATTAAAGATATAAGTGTTATGTGTGTAAATATCAATGTTTAGTTGAGCTTTGTAAATACACAAGAATTGTTTGCTATGTATATAAATGCCCCTTAAACTCAATGTTGCCAAATCCAGACATCCATTCCGAGCTAGAATTTATTAAATTTATTATTAAAAAAAATCTCATTCACAAAGGTCATCTCAAATGATAAAGAAACCGATCCAACATCTTCAAATTTCACTAAAAACTATGAGCAAATGTCCAGAGAATTAGAAAACTTGCTAATTGGTAAAAAAAACATAACAAAAGTTAATAATCACCACAAAATCCAAATGCCGACAGATTGTATGTCACACAATGGGAAGAAGTTTCATTATCTCAAAATGTTGTCGAAAAAGAAATGCAACTAATGTTTTGAATGGAAAAGGCACCTGCAAAGGACGGCATGTGGTATGGTTAAGCGGCATGTTTCTGGATCTAGGGAGGCACTGGGATCTTGAATATCATGTGGCCATATTCTAAGTTTCACAGTACACGGCAGCTCTGCAGTTGTTGCAGTAGCCAGTGAAGAAGCATTTTCAGTTTCAATACCAGCTGGACCTAGATGGAGCCGAGGTTCATCATTTTGGGCATTTAAAAAAGTCGAACCCTCGCCAGCACCAGTTGAAGCTAAAGTTCGGGAGCGATTCCTACTACGAGAGCTAGTCCGTCCAGTTCCACGGGAATTGTTTGAAGCATTCACTGTCGCTGAAGAAGCTATCAGAGCCTCCATGCTGCGATTATATGACTGATCAGCCGATAAGCTGGGGCCAGTTCCAAGAGCTGTTGAAAGACTACCATGAAATGTACTGTTTGCTGGAAACAATGAGTGCAAGCCTGCATGAGATTGACCCATAAGCCAACCCTGCAAAAAAGGAAGCTCCCAGCTAGCTGAATCAGTGACAGGAATAAACTGCTGAACTTGTCCTGCTTCTATGCTCCCTAGAAGCATTTGAATTTCAGCATTTCCAGAAGAGCTTGAGGAGTTTATGGCAATATTACTGTCACTGCCACTTCTAGCTTGTCTGATAGGTATCCTAAGAGCCACCGGTAAAGCATTCGAAACATCTGTTCTCTCAGCATTGCTTGTATATCTATGTTGAAACCAACTACTAGGTTGACCACTGGTTGAATCCGTACCCCCAACAAGTGAACTATAATTTGAAGCTTCAACCCTAGGCGCAAAAGAATGAAAATCAGTATCAGTAAAACTAGAGCCATGACTTTCTGCAGGAGACATTTCCATAAGAGTCACTGAATTGTCCAGCTGGCTCCCCCAATTCACTGATCCTTGTAGATTAGATATAGGACCATCAGGCCTTTGCTGGTCATTTCCAGAAACACCACCCCCCCTGCCAATAAGCTGTAATGATGTCGGAACATCATCCTTCTGAAATGTTGGCATAAAAAAGTATGGAGAAGGCATTACTGGAACTTTGGCCTCCACAAATGACTGTAGACTAGAATTCATATTGGCAAAAAGGACAGCAGGAGGTGGATATTGCAAATAACCAGATGTAGTTGCAAGTGTCAATGTTGAATCTGGAGAATCAAGATCGTTAACCTACAAAGATAACAAATGAGATCTTTTAGCATAAGATATTAATAGATAAAAATGCAGAGCAAACACTAACGAAAGGCAGTTCCACCTCGGCTGTCAATAGAAACGGGGCACCATGTGGATGAAAATGCACAGCCCTTAATGACCGTCTAGTCTTCAGAACAATTGTTGGAGAAGATGTTTCCCCTCTCCTATTGTAGTTCCATACATACAACTAAAATAATAAGAGTCAGAATGCTGTTATGAAACTAAACTCATCTTTTTGTTCTTTAATCTCAGAGCATCTTACCTTGTGGCCTGAAGCTACAGCAAGTAGTTCTCCCTGGGCATGGAAAGCAATAGAAGCTATAGGGCGATCTGCAACGTGATACACAGAGGGAACCACATAAGCACAAACACTAAAAGCACGGTGGAAATAACAAATTAACATAATTAGAGAGAAAATGATATGAGAAATTACAAAAATTACGTGACCCTATACAATCAGCAGTATGTGCATCCCAGATACGAACTTCATGATCCAAACTACCACTGGCAAGAATTTCAGGGTATAGAGGGTGGAACCTAACCTGTGCATGACGCATTGATAGTAAATGAATATAATATTTATCACAAATAATGGAATAAGTTCGGGGGAAAATAGCAACAATTAAAACAATAGATGTTCAGTTATTAAAATAATTAAAATTCAATGGAAAGCAACCCTATGTATAAACAGACTTTTACTCTATATTGGGAGTTAGAAATAAAGAAGTTAGCAACAAGATTTATTATGTTCAAATTCCTTGAAATATTAAGCTCGTTCAAGAAATTAGTATAGGGGCAGTGCTTCAGGTAAAATTTACAATTCAAAAGACTATCCACCTCATAGTAGTAACACTCATCACAGCTGTCAATTTGACCATGCCCCATGCAGAAGAAAGACTAAGCAAACTAGTTGTACATGTATCATCATTATGCCGATGAACAAAGGATTAAATGTGTAATGTTCATTTTTTATTGTATTTTATATGAACAACAATGATATCCAACAAAAAACATGAAAACAAAGAAATTGTTTAGGTTTTGTTTGGTTGAGCGTGTACTTTCACAAAAGTGTGTTTAAAAAAACTTTAAAAAAACAGTGTTTTAAAGTTACTGCCGCTAAAGATGATACTATTGCTTAAATATAATGTTTTTTGAAACCAAAAAGCTCTTTATTACTTGTTTTGCTACTCTATTAGCTTTAGCGTATTTCGGATAAAAGACAAAAATATACTTAACTTTTTAAAATTGCAAACATCATTTCTACTACTTATTCTTAAAACAAACTTTAAAATGAAAATAAACTGAGAGAAAGAGAGAGAGAGAGAGAGGTGAAAATAATCCCTAAGCAGTTGGACCTATTCCTTCTTTTGCCTTGCTACAGAGCTGTCTCCCCACCCATCTCCTATTTGCGATACAAAAAAAATCAGCGCCCCCCCCCCCCCCCCTGTCTCGTTAGATTGAAGCCCTCTCCTCTCTCCAATTTTCCGTTCGCACAACCCAAGCCGATTCTCACACACAAAGCAGTGAACAAGCCTCCCTTCTCTTTTCCTCCCTCTCGACTCGCACGAGAGAATAGAAACTGAAGTTCCCTTCCTCTCAGTTCGCACAGCAGAAAACGAAAAAAAAACACCACCCCGAGTTCTCTTTTTCATATCTTTTAAACTCCACTAAAATTTTGAAGAAAACCATCTTAAAAGGAAAACCCACCTTATACCACATCACATTAGGCAAAACTAAAGAATTTCAGCTCACTTATATTACAGCTTATGATAATGATTATCATCATCTCATCTAATGTTCCATCATCCTACTATAAAGTAATTTTTTTCCTCAAAACTCTCAATATATACATCTACAGACACTAGTCTATTTTTTTATTCAAACTTTCACTTGGAACCGACTTCCAATATTTGCAAAATTATTTTTTCTGTGTAAATAAAAATTTGATTCATGGTAGCTCTACTTTTGAAAGCATTTAAGTACTATTCTTGCCTCTTAAAGCATGCATTCATTATAACAATATCATATGCCACCGTGAATTCAAGTATAACTTCCTCCATTAGATTTTTTTCTTATATTCCATATAGAACAATGCCACCATAAATCTTCACATTGCCCATCCTACTAAACCCCATTTATCCAATTACAACGCCCCAAGTACTTATTCTCTCTTCTAAGCTTCAAATCATAATTCATCTATCTCTTCCAAAAAATTAATTTTTAAAACTATCCTTTGATAAAAATTCAGAAGCAAAAGCACTGACCATATTGGCTTGAGAGCAATTTCTTTATCACTAAGGTGATTCATAATAATGCAAACTAACGACATGGATCCATCTTTTAATTCTTTTTTAGTGCTTAAGGCATCATGAGAAAAGAGAATGAACAAAAGAATCAATAGGTTGTTCTTTAGCCTACCCTCATTGAGCCTTCACCCTTTCCTATGATTGGTGTCGTAGGCAACCTTTCTCATCCATTGGTGCCAAAATGTCTTCCCCATGCTAGTCAAAAGGCAAATAGAGCCAGCCTTTATAAATAAGAGTTAATTTTTTTTGCAAAATAAGCTACCTTAGTTTACATAGAAACAATTCATCAATGATTGGTGTGCTAGGCATCCATCCTTATCCATTGGTGCCAAAAGTCTTTCCCATGCCAGTTCAAAAGGGAAATGGAGCACCATGGCAATAGGCTCCACTGGAGCCAAGAGAAAAATAACACATATAAGACATAAGGCTGTTCATCATGTATGAGAAAATAAATACTATATAACAATCTCAATAGGTCAAGCCGACCCTCTACATTAATAAAAGTAAGAAAAAATGAAGTAAAATAAGGTACCCAATTGTACAAAGGAAGAAACTAGCTTATACTCGAAGGAAGCACTTCCTAAAAATAAATGCAATCAGTTAGGTTCTCTTGATTCCCTTTTCTCTCCAGTTCCGCTATACCACTACACTCTCCATCAGCATGCCCTGGATTAATAACTAGGACAACTAACATAAAAACATGCCAACTAAAGTAAACTGTCAAGCCATCCAAAGGAATTTACAAAGCAATTATAATGCCCTTCTAGTTGTATTTCACTACCATCTGGAATAGCATGATCGCCTCACGGTCTGTAAATTCCCTACTCTAGCTGGCAAGGGGGGGAAAAAGTAACACCTATTAGTTCCCAGCTATAAAATATATGTAAAAACAAAAGAAAATGAAGAACCAAGATAATAGAAAAGTCAGTATTGGAAAAGAGAAGATTTTTTTTCCTAACGAACAAACATGGATGTCAGCTAAGGCAGTACTGGAGTTTTTCTTACAATAGACTAGAGTCAGGAGTCGAATGAAAGAAAGGTCAGATTACAAGCATCTGGGTCAGGAAAACCATTTGCCTTGGGTTAAAAAACAAGCAATCTGATCATAAAATGGGGCTTGTTTGGAAATATTAAGATCTTGTTATGCATGAATCATATGTATAGGAAAACAAAAGAAATTCAATAATGAACCAAGATAATAAAAAGGTCATTATAGTGAAAGGGAAGGAAAATCTTCCTAACGAACAAACATGGATCTCAACTGTGGAAGAACTGGAGTTTTTCTTACAATAGACTAGAGTCAGGAGTCGAGTAAAAGAAAAGTCAGATTACAAGCATCTGGGTCGAGAAAGCCATTTGTCTCGGGTTAAAAAAACATACAATCTGATCATAAATTGAGGCTTGTTTGGAAATATTATGATCTTGTTATGCATGAATCCTATCACCATACCATCAAATTTATAGACTAGCCCCTCGATAAGCGTATTCACTTTGTTCATAAAGTCAATGAAAGTTTATACATGTAACATCTGATTTCTAAAACACCTTTCTTACACAAACAAAAAATGCCAATTTTACAGCGAAATGGAAGAAAAGTATCACAAAATAAAGATTAAAGATGTAATACAGAACTTTCCAACCATACCTACAGATAAAACTACAGCCAAGGCATTCATGCGAAATAGCAAATGTGGAATAAAATTTTCTTTTCAATATGCTGGGATTCATTGTCTCTTAAGATAAATAATTTCTGAAGTTAATATAACTCAGGAAAAATAAGTGAGATTACACCAAGGTAAGAAAAAAAAAGAAATTAACTTACAAAAAAAGTTTAGCATTCCGATTATTTAAATTAGAACCGCACAAACTTATTTATAGATTCCCCTACGATTTTAGAAAATTTCATTTTTTTTAATTGAATTTATGTGTGCAGAAAAATGACATTTTCTGCATATGTTATATTATAACACAAGTGAATTGAAATAAAAACCAAATGGCACATCATAAACTGCATGGGTAGCAACACTATCCAACATACTATTGTTTAGTAAAGAGAGTAATCACCACTTGGTCGAACTTATTATATCATCCAATCCTTGCATTGTATTAGCATTCCAGAAAGACAACGTAAGACAAAATCACTAAATAACTATTCATAAACATAATATAGATCATTTCATAAGTAGAAAAAATAGAGAAGCAAAACTAAATATGAATAAGTAAATATAGATGTTGCATACCACCCATGGTGTTCGACGGTGACCACTCAAGACCTTTAAGCAGCTTCCAGTATGGCAATCAATTATCTTAACTGTGTGATCACCACTAAATGCATATTTCAAAATAAAATCAATAAAAGCGAATGCCAATATAACATGAGCAAGAATCAAGAGACGGTGAATAAACATACTGTGTTGAGGCAAGTGTTTTCCCATCAGAACTAAATGCTGCAGCTATCGTGGATCTTGGGGGAGGAAGAAGAGGGCAGTACTTGGCTAACAAATGACACAGAGACTCTGCTTCGACCCTGATAAAATATGCTCCATTAATCAAATTTTCTAGTGCCAACAGAACCTAATATTAATTAAATAGCTAAATCAGATAAAATACAGTAAACAATTTTATAAGTTTTATTTTAATTCTTGCTGCTAGAATATGAAAATTTTTAACAGTTGGTCCCATTTTAAGTTCTCAATTATCACAAGCTTCACGCATCATACAGCCTTTACCAAGAAAGAAGAGCAAGTTTTGCATCTATCACATCGCACTTTGGCCCAGAGCAATCAACCCTAAATTTTGAAGTCTCTCCCCATACTTTTTTCGAGGAACATTTTGCTCTAGGTGAGATTTCCCGCTTCGCTAGCAACTGACAAACATTTCTGCAAATAACAAGTTGAAAAAAGAAATGAAGCAGCTTCTATATCAAGCACCAGAAAGTGTTTAAAATTAATTGCAAAATCATTCAACATTAAACCAACTGTAGACAAGCTACAATTACAACTAAAACGAACAAAAGTAATAGAGAAATCATAGCCAAGAAAAAAAAAACATTCACCTGTTTCGTGGAAGGGAATGAGACGAAGACTGTGACGAGGAATGAACATTAGGAAATGTGGAATTTAAATACTTCGCATCATCAATCCAGCGTTGAGTCATTTCTATCTTCTAGCATGATGCCCCTGAAAGTAGCAATTTTAAAGCAAAACCAAGGATTGCAATACATGTTAAGTTTTAGCAGGAAACAAGACAACGAGAATATTTAGAAAAAACAAAGTAAAAAATAAGAAAGAAAAGTGTGCAACTCATTCACTTACCAAAATTCAAGTTTTTAAGACTTGCAACTTTGGAGACAGCCATTTACAGCCTAATAAAATTAAAATTGTTAGAAAAAATAAGAAATTAGATTAAACACACAACTACAGAGTTTTAGTTCTCTATGAGAGGTTCTATTCAAAATTTCAGTATCAGGTAACTATAATGGATAAAGAAACCACATGGAGTAAAAAAAATTTCAAACATCATTTTATAATTGAAGTTGCCTGCAGAGAAAGCTAACATAGAGTTTTGATCTTGTGGTCTTTTACATGAAAGAGATAGGAAAAGCTAAGTATCAAACACATAAAAAATAGCACATAACAGCAAAATATACCTTTCAACTCTATAAAACCCACAAGGTAAAGAAAAGCGTAGAAGGTTAAGAAAAACACTCCATCTACAACAACTCAATCACAATTAATCCAACCATACATCTACAGCAAACTGAAAACAAATTTATTGGTAAGTAAACTGGTCAGATGCATATTGTCAAACCAGATGTGAATCAGATAAAGAAACTTTTTCCAAAGTTTACTTACATAATTGATGGAGGAAAAAATATTTTTAAATAAGCATTTTAAGGGGATACATGTCCCTACATTCCCCTTTTAAATTTGCATGTAGGTTTAATATTGTCTGTGGTAAACAACGAGACTCTACTATATCTATATATGAAGCACAAAGATGAGAAAAGTAATAGAGAAAGAAATTTCATGCGATAATTTTATATTCAAATAGACAGTTTTAGTACAAGCATAAGATTATAAAATGACCACGTCTCAAATTTGACCTTTTTTATAGGTGTGAGTTAAGAACAGAGACACAACTATTTGCATGATAAAAGGCAAGAAAAAAATATAACTGACCTTGATGTAGTTGCCTATGTAATTATTGAGTTTGACTAATAGTTGTCTATTAAGATGAAACTTTGAGCTAGTTTTAAATGAGATCGAGCATCTTGCATGAGTTAGTTTGGTGACAACATGTATTTGATTGCCGATCACTCAAGACGATTAACACAGATTTGTAGGCGGATATTCTTGACAAATAGGTGAGTTCGTAAACCCTTTGAGGCGTATCTAAATTTTGAGGGAAGAGTAAAGGTTAATTCCTAGGAACTTCAATTATGACAGGTGCTGAATTGATCTATTAATATAGACGTAGTGTGTCTGATTTATAATTTTGTAATAATCTGATCAATCTGATTCGAATATATATGGATATAAATGCATAAATTTAAACTTATTATATTAATATCAATTTAAAAAAAATTATGAACTAAATTAGTCCGCATGTATTTTTCATTACACTATATGGACTTGTGACTAAATTTAAATATCTTATTGACACAAGTTTGTTGCAGGTCTTATGCTGAAGCCTAATCAGTCCGCAATAAAAGCTAATGTGTTTCAAATTGTCGCTTATTCTAACTGGAAAACAATGCTTTGTGTTCAGCTTCGCACGCGATTGAATTTAGTCCTGACTCCCAAGTCCAATCTTAACTCAACACACACGTGGGATTCAACTCCCAGGTCTATAAATGGCTGTAGTCAGCTGGTTCAACTTGTTCTGGTTCAAAGTGTCAAAACAACTTGCTTGCTCAACCCATTCCAAAGCTGACGCTAGCCAAATTATGGCAATCTATAAATGGCTGTGTCAGCCGGTTCAACTTTCTTTGGTCCATGGTGTCAAAATGACTTGTTTGCTCAACCCATTCCAAAGCTGACGCTTGCCAAATTATGGCAGTTATGACGCCATTGGGTTTTCTTCACATTTTGAATTATCTCGTATCTGCTTCCAATTTTCTCAATTCAACCTTGATCTTCATTCAAATCCACTGAAACTCATCCTTTGAAAATTGAAACTCGAGAAAGTCTTCCATTCTAATGGAAGAAGACCCATTTTCTATGTTATTTAAGAATTATTTGGAAACTAATTCTGCTGTATTTTTGTCAGACAAAGAAGCTTAACTCATCACTGAATTGCTCCAATCAAACGCCATCTCTTGGATTTTGAGGTAATTTTAATTTTATTTCTTTTAATATGGATTCTAAATAGGTAACATGCTGGTATGCTAATGTATCAAAATGTTTTCTTCCTGTATTCAGTCTAGTTCTTTAGTCATCAATTTTTAAATTGGAAATATTATCAGATCGGCCCTTCATGATGACATGATTCAGAGGAAGCAATTTTTGTTACTTAAATATTTCTTTTTTTTTCTCAGCTACAACCATTTTTGCATGTGTATGTCGGTGATAGTTCAGATATTTGGACCCTTGAGATAGTTGATCCAATTGATAACCACATTAAGCACCTTGTTTTTCCTGCAGCATCAGTGTAAAGGAGTGTAGCTAAATAATTGTAAGGTTTGTATCTGACCGTACCAAGATCTTGGTGCACAGGGATGGCTTTTGGTTGTGAAGTCTTGTACTGCACTGAGCCTTCCTGCATTTCATATTTGTTTTCACTTGATTTTGTAATTCCCTACTTGGCCTTCTGACAGCAAGTTCTAAATGACAAATTATATGAATGTTTATTTAATGTTATCAGTTTCTTTTTTTCCTTCAGTATTAGCAGCGCATTCACTTACTCTCAAACATATAATTTTATTTTTATATTGTTTTTTAGAGGCCATTTGGTAGCCAAATTTTATCATTAATCCTGTCAAATGGTCAAAAATGACAACAAAAATCTTAGAGATTTTCAAATTTCATTTTACTTCAATTTCGTCCTTAATTTTGGATTTACTATATTTATGAGTCTAGTGGATTAATAAATTTAACAAACTGACGTGTATGAAAGATGGGAGAGAAACAACTTTCTTGCATGCTTTGCATAGGCGAGCAGTTGTGTATAGGACTGTAGTTTTCTCTTTTATGATAGATTTCTATGAAGAATAAAAAAATAGTTTAATAAGATATATCAGGTGAAGAGGAAGAACTCGACAAGGACTTTGATTATGCCTCTTCACCACAAAGCAAGTTAGTGAGATTGTATTCGTCACTTTGATTACGACAACCCATTTTACAATTCCAAAGCACTTTATAACATAAAAAAAATGGCTATTGCTAAAAAATTCAATTGCATCAATTACATAGTTTCTGAAAAAAACTATGACAATTTCATTATCTAGCTTTTTAAAAAACTACAAAAATGCCATTATCTAGTTTTTGAATATTTTTCATAAGTGAATAGCTTTCTTTTAAAACTCTAAATTGTAATTACCTTTTGATACATCATTTGAATCCAGTATCTTAAAGTCAATCATCTGATTATTCATTTTAGTTTTTTAATTATTATTTTTATTTCTTTGCATCCAAATCTTCATTAATTTCAAATTAATGATGATATTTTTAAATTAATTAGCCTTAATAATTATTATTAATTCAAAAAAAATATATTATTTGCAAAATCGTGGTTTAATGACAACATAGAAGTTTTTGTATTTAAATTTTTAACTAATTTACCATTTAATAATTATTTTAAACATTATTTATGCTGATTATGATTGTAGGCAATCATATTACATGTTTTAAATTAACTATCAAGAAATATTAATAAAATTCTAGTTGAGCTAACATATTTAAATCCTAAAATAATTAGTAAACCAATTTATCGAGATTTAATTGGATTTAACCTCTATTATGTTAAATGATTTTCAAAATTTAGGGTTTGTTTGGGGCAACTACAGCTTATTAAAAATTTATTGTGAAGTTGCTGAAAAATAATCTGATGTTAAAAAGGTTGCAGAGGCCATTACAATTTTAAAAAAAAAAAATTTAGACCACATCTAGAAAGCTGTCACCGCACCTAGCCAGGACCGATGGGAAAATGTAGATTTCAACGGCAACTTTTTGAAAAAGCTGTCAAAACGCAATTTACACAAACAGACAAAATTGCATTGTGGTACCGCAGCGCCACCTCAAACGAGCACTTAATTGCCTAAGGACTTATTCAACTCTATTTTCAGCCAAACTGCCCTTTGAAGTTTGTTTCCTGGTGACTTTTTCTCTATTTTGAGAATTTTTCTGCATTAAAGTGTTGTGAGCCATCATTGTGAATATTATTGATTTTTTTTTATATTTGATTTTCCATGCCAGCCTTTCTTTCTCCTTAATGTTTCTTAGTTTCGAGCATCCTTTGTGAGATTGATTTCATTTATTTACTCAAGTTTGAATTTGGCTTAGTAGTGGTAATTTGAATGTAATATCTTTGTGTTGTTGTAGTCTTGTGTGGGTTTCTGTATCTGAAAGTAGTTACTATAGTACGCATGCTCTTTGGGTTCAAGCAAGTCTAAAAGCTAAAAACTATAAAGTCTCTTAAGGGTTTTAATTCTCAATCTAGAGAGAAGATTGGCTCCAAACTAAACATATTAAAACTAGAAGAAAGCAAGATTCGAGAATTTAGAACCAAGGGTAGAATCAAACAAACATTTTTTTAGCTTAACTCTCTTTTCATGCTAAACAAATTTAAATTCAGAATCTATCACTGGAAAATAATAAATGAATTTTCTTTTATCAATCATTCCTTTAGGCACCATGCACCATTTTATTCAAACAAACACTGATATCAGAATCAGGAAGTCCCAAGCATCTTATGAAGAAGAAACCCGATTATCAATAAAACATGAGTATTTTGCTGACATCTGTTCTTCCTAATTATAGAAATTTTTTTGAAATAAACTTATCCAGCTAGCATTAGAATGCACTATCCAAATACATTTTTTAACCATATGTTTTACGATCTATGATTTAAAAAAGTGGAGAAATCCTAAAATCCATTAAAGCTAGAGAATGATAGCATTTAACAAATGTTGAATTCAATCAACAACCAGCTGAAATGGGATTTGTTGAAACAACAGGATCTTAAATTCCCCCAAAATACTATTTGGCCAAATTTAAGCTAGATCTTGTCTGAAATATTTCTTGCAACAGTATATCAAAGGCATTCTTTACTCTAAACCAACAAATCAAATCCTAAAGATTTTAGACATAAACTACCATTAAAATCAAAAAGCAAAGCACGATAACAGTTATCTTCCCCAGATCTTAGAATTCTCGATTTATTCCCATAATTAGCTAAATCAACAACTGAGCAAAACGGATAATACAATGGGTTAAATCAGGAAAAAAAATCATCAACAAAAACATAAAAAATAATAATTGAGAAAACCCTTACCTTTAGGATGGAGGAAGGTGTGAAACGCGTAGATGGAAGAAGCTCTCGCTTCGGGAAAGAAGAGGATTCGAGGATCTCTCGTGGCTGTATCAGAGAGGATGCGAGGACTTATCGTTCGGCTCAGCGAAGCTCTCGCTTCGGAAAAGAATCGACGGGATCCAGAGGATGATCGGATCGCTAGGGCAGAGGACTTCAGGCGAAGGCAACCGCGGAAGAAAATGACGCGAACTCAGCGGACATGGAATAGTATTCGCGATCGCTATACTAGTAAACCGCGGAACGTCTTATGCGAACGAAAGCGCCGAAAAGCTACATACAAACAGATTCTAAACGCGATTTTTAACCGACCGTGGTTCAAAACTCTGAAACAAACGCACCACGAGGGATTCGGGGCAGGTGACTAGCGTTGTTTGGGCTTAATCTAAAATTAGGGTTTGCTGAACAAAACTCGCCATAAGCAAAATGAGCTGCGGGACTGTCTAATAGCGAAACTTTAGGCTTTTAAAAAATTTAATTTAATTATATCAGTTACATTTTATCTTTAATTACTAGAGCAATTACTTACTTAGCACCGGAAACTGGAAACATTGTTTTATAGGGTTGTCAAAACGGCTCATTGCTCGCGAACAACTCGTGTTGGGCTCGTTAAGAAGCTTGTGTGTATATTTGTTCGTTTGTGTTCAGCTCGTTTTTGCTCGAAATACTACTAATCAATTATATATATATCTTTGATGAGTAGTCTTTTTAAAATTTTAGTTGACTACAATGCTACAAAGATTTATAATCAATTAAAAGTATTAATAAAGAAAAGACAATAAAAATTATAAAATTAGATTCGAATGATGTTTTAAATCTTGCCCCAATTTAGACTCAAATGATGTTTTAAATTCTGCCCCAATTCTTAACATATAAAGACTACGTTTTAGTGTTTTCAAAATGACTCTTTGTTGGTGAACGGCTCATGTTCGGCTCGCTAAGCAAACAAACTGAACATGAAAACACTTTTTGAGCTCGAAATATAATTATTTACAATTCTCACATTGGTTTTCATCCATTTTTCAAATTCTTACTAAGTACCCCTTACAATCCCAACCCATATTTTTCATTTTATCAAATTTTAATTAATTTGATTTTGACACTCAGTTCAATAATTTAAAAATATGTTAGATTTTGTAAATAGAAATATTTAGAATATTATAATGTAATTATCCCCGCTTATTATTTTTTGTTAGTTATACATGTTATTAACTAGTGATAAGGTCTGTTTGGGGGCAGCTGCAGCTTATTAGATAATTTGCTGATAAGTTAAGTCTCATAGCTATTACAGATTTTTAATTTTTTAGAAAAGTCAGACCGTTGCCAGAAACCTGTCACCGCACTTAGATAGGTGTGTTGACGCATAAGCTGTCAAAACGAAGTTCATCAAAATAGACGAGGTGTGTTTTCAAAACGCGAACGCACCAAATAAGTTGCCCCAAACGGGCCCTTAATTTAATTAAATATAAGTAACCTTTAAATAAAGCTTATTTGTAAACTTATATGGAAGCTTTTCTTGAACTTTAGATTACATTATCATCTAGCTTTTTAACTACTTCATAATTTTTAAATGTTATCATTAGTTATTATAAATAATTTTAGCATAGTGTTGATCAAATTTGTTCATTAAACAATTAAGTTCATATAAAAATTATCATGTTTGTTGGATTAATCAAACAAATGTGAGCAATTTCTTACTCAGCCCATTTATGAATAGTTTGGCAAAAGTTTGATTTTTTTTCGTCCTAAATTAGAATATTAGAAATGTAAATATAAAAATTTAATTTTTGAATATATAAATATATAAGAATTGTATGGCATGAATAACTAAATGCCCGATTTAAGAATTGTTACCTCGAGTCTTTGTAGCCCGAGTGTAACCATAATAAGTAAATAAATACACTCATTCTTACTTTTCGTTGCACAAGTAGCTGCACCCAAAAATGCCTCATTCTTCTTAGAACTTGCATACTTTCCTATAATTTTGGCACCCTACCGCCCTATTCATAATTTTCACAATGTTTCCCTTCCCCTCCCCGTCTTTCTTCTATATTTTTTTTTAAATTTGTAGAACCCTTCAAGGTAAACATATGCATGAAGCAATAGCGAAGTTCAGCGGCATCGGAAGACAAAAGGAAACAATCCTTTGTTGGCTTGCGTGCATATGCCATATGACCAACGGTGGCCAAAACTCTAATCAGCGCATGGAATAGATGAGGACGAGATCAATTTTATCACAAATATCAAGATTCATTGCTATGAGTGAATGTACTTTGATTACAAAAATATTGGCATAACTTGCCAGTGACTAATGTATTGGATCTTTCAAAGTAAACAAAAAATGGTCAAAAATGATACATCTTCAACTATTTAACACCAGCACTTACATTTGAGTTGGGTTTAAAATAGTTTGCATGGCATGTACATCACCCAACTCATACTAATAGAGCCTCCACATTTTGATAGAAAATTGTATCATATTTGTATGTCCTGAGAAGAAGTCACATTGCTTTTTCAGCCTGCATGACCAAGCGTATGATTTATATTTAGGGGTCTATCTAATATGATTAGGATGTTAGAGGCTTCCCTGACTTAGACGAGGTATAATTTCTTTTGTGGAAGTGTTTTCAGCATTGTACCTTGACATCTCATTTCCTTTTCACTCCAATGGTCATTATTATTTCGGCGGGTATAAGTCTTACCTCTACATACTCTAATTACAAAGAGTTATAAGACGTAGAGTTTCCTTCTCTTGACCTTTGAACTACAGAGATTCCCTTGAATAATGTAATTCATGGATTGCTAACAAGGGGTCTTTAGTCGGGTTGGGTCAACTATCTTCACAACCATATAGACTTAAGGTCCTAATAGCTTGGGATGATAGTTTCATGGTATCCTAACAGGTGTATCTCTACTCGAGTAAGATTTCTCTAACTATTCTTTGTTGAGCCCATTTGAGCACATTTGTCCTTTGTCACTTCATTGATGTCATTTAGTTGAACCCATTTTGTTGATAGACTTGTTGCTCATTTGGTATACGGTGATTAAATATCCACCCTTATAGCCCAATTAGGCCTTGAAGCAGTGGGATAATCATACTTGATGACCCAGTTATTTCATGTGCCTCGTTCGATGATGAGTCATTGGTCATATTAGGATTGTGGGCGACACTTTCTGTTAATATGGTTTAGCTCGAGCTTTGAAAGCACAAGATGCTCCCTTAAGATAATCGTTCTTTCAGTGATCTATTCACTAGTTATCATTTATATGTAAGTAGGACATCTATTATCGAGAGTATTCTTGAGTATTCCTTAAGATGTAATTAACTAATAGGATACATCCTTTTGGAGGTTGCTCTTGACTTCATGATTATTTTGTTTCGTCTATGATGTACTCATAGCAAGAGATGATTCTCAATGTATTTCAACATGGATTACATAATGTACCTTTTGAGGCATTAGCCTATGTCTGATTTATGACTTCTCATTCAAAGCAAATTAATGAAAATTTCTCTCAAATTGTGCCTCTTTGTCAGTTGCCTTTTTGTGCGATGGATGAAAGCCACGAACCATGCGTTGGTTCAAAATTTCAATGAACAAAGAACGAAGCAACAAATCTTGAACAATAAATAAAACATAAATGAAAAATAATCACAAATGAGCAAATAAATAATAAAACAAATTTCTTTTGAAAATCAACCAATTAAAATTAAAACTTTAAAAATATATTTTAAAAAAATTAATGGTTTGCTTATGTAAGGATTCACTTCGTGATTATTTTATTTCGAAGTATTTCAATCTAATTCTATTTTTAGACGTATACTCTTGACCTATCACACGAGGATTACCTTACATAAACTCTTCATGTTTCATTTTAATTTGATGCCTATTTTTCATCATATATTCTCGTCTTTCCAATTCTTTTCTTCTCAGGATCATCTTTGGAGAGAGACTTATTTGGAAATAAGAAATCATAATATGACGAGATATAAATATACATGCTAGCTACTCTAATGTTCAGTTTAAAAAACCAAAAACATAACATTCATTGGCTTTTCAATGATTGACACAAATTTTGCAAGGACGTGAATGTTTTCCCATAGATAACTCCATCTTATTGTATGCTTGCAAATTTGTGATAATAGAGTGATATATTAATGTCCTATTGTTGTATGTAGACACGACACACACACGCACACATAAAAGAAAGATATGGTAGAGGGAACAAAAAAAAATTTTATGTGAAAAACCTGAATGAGTAAAAAACACACAGCCTAGCCCAATTGAAATGATTCTACTATGTCGATTTATGTTACATGACTTTATAAGGCCTTGAATAGCTAGAAGCAAAATTACATAAGCTGAATTTATCTACATGATTTTCTTTAAGAGAATACGAAATATGTTGGGGAAGTGGCAGAAACTCGATTGCTGTGAAGAAAAGTAGACGATAAAGGTCGCATACTAGAAAATCTGATGCTAGCATTGTTAATAACATAATATTATGAGGGTGGTCCAACGGAAAGAACGATGATGACCGGGAAGCGGAGGTCTGACTTTGGCAATTACCCAATGGTGGTGGTCAAGTAGTAATGATGGTGGCAGTCGAGTAGTTATGATCGGACGTTGGTTTGATGACAACAATGATTATATGGCTTTGGCCCATCGGTGATGATGGTGTGATCGGGCACTTGTGGTCAAGTGATGGCAATGACAACAATAGTCCGACGGTGGCAATAGTGATGTCTAGGAAATGATGGTCCGGTGATGGTAGCAACCTAATGACAATAGTTTGGTGGAGACAATGTTGGTTGTCGAGCAATGGTGGTCCAATGATGACAATGCCCCAATGGGGTGGTGCATTCGTGATGAAGGTAGTGCTCGGTAAGTAGTGGTCCGACGACAACAACTATGATGGCGGTTGGACATTTGTGGTTTGATGATAACAAAAACTAAATGGTAGTGGTTCGACAACACCAACGGTGGTGGACTGGGGATGGAGACTATCCAACAAGGTGGTCTGATGGTGATGAAAGTAGTGTTTGATCAGCTGCGGTTCGACGATGATGATGGTCTGGCATTGACGATGGGGATGGTTGGGCAACGGTGGTTCGATAGTGGTCCAATGTTGACAAAGGAGGTGGCTGGCAACTGTGGTCTGACAACAGTGATAATTCGATGTAGGTGATTCAGAGATGGTACAGCTTGAAGCTCCTTCATCCTTCTTCAAGTCCAACCCTAAGTCTATGTCCTCATTTCCATGAAAGGAGTGGGAGTATATTTATAGATTTGATGAGTGCCATTATTCATAAATATCACATGAATTCAAACCACTAGATCACACGACCTATAGTGATCCCTTTGATCAGATGATATTTTATGAAGATTTTAAGCGTCTTAACGTTGTCGGAATTAAGCGATCTTATGGTTACTGGATTTGTCTCATTGAGATGCTTGAATTGACAATAAAATTATCAAATTTGGAGAACATTAGATTTCACCAAAATATAATTGAAAACTTTTTACTATGTTTTAAGTACTTGATCTGAGCTCACTGATACTCGACTGAAACAATGTTTTAATTAAATATCCAAAGCTCTCAATCCCAATATGCATCGAGAATCGAACTTGATTATGTCAAATTTGTAGAAAAGTATCATACACATGTCATGTATAAAAAATTTGTATTTTTTAAATATTAGAATAATTATATCTTTTAATGTGATATGAAAATTTTGAATGATATAAATATAAAAAATAAAATTTAGACCTTAAACATATAAATAGTTATCGCAGCTTAGATAATTTGTTATTTTATCCCCAAGTCCACCATCCTGTGGCACTAGGCATTCCCACGTCACAACAAGCAACTTCTTTCCTGACCTCCCATCCCACTCCCTCCCTCACCACAAGCAGACACGAACTGCAAGCTCCGGCTAAAAATGGGCACCACAGCTGCAGCAGTGAGCCCCCGGTTCTCCGCCACCAAATCCCACCGGCACCAAATTCTCTCCGCCTCTGTTCTCCAATCCCCCATCACTCGGCTTCCTCTATCGGCGGCTCTCCGCCACTTCACTGATCAGCTTTCAGTTGCTGGCATTCAAAAAAGAAGAAACCTTCAGAAAATTACGGCTGCTGTGGAGCAAGAGGAGGTGGAAGCTGAGACGGAGGGACCTCAGTCGCCGCAGCAGAATGCCAAGCTTTCCGTTGGGAATCTTCCCTATGATTGTGACAGGGAGCAGTTGGCCGGAGTTATTCAAGAGATTGCTAGTCCTGAGATGATTGAGGTAAATAATGGCTTTTGGATTTGTTTTCTGTGTTTGGTAGGGGAATTCAGATGGTTTAGTTGATTATTTTGTCATTTGGCATATTTGTTTCAAGGCAAATTTAATGGCTGGAAACCAATATTGATGAAATTTGATTCAGAATATTTTGATTTAAATTTAGTTCTTTGATGAGGGAGGTTGATTGAGGCTCTCTTTTTTCAAATAAAGCTTTTTGATTTACTTGCTCTATGTTTTTGTTTTTTTAATATTTATGGGCCGGCATATTATTTATAGAATGAGTAATTGTTCTCATGAAATTTATAATTTTTTTAGGTGAATAGTAATTTAATGTTTCCTTACTCTACCCCTAAAAAATATTAGACATTTGGTTATTTTGTCCATCTCAAAGATAATGATGGTTCCCCCTCCACACATACCACTCTATTCTTATGTATTTACCTATTTAATAACTAAACTTTGAATTTTGGACGCACTAATATATATATATTATATATATATATAAATGATCAGAGACTATTATACGAGCCTCAAGCCATCCTCATCTGTCTAACATTTCGAGGACCGCCTTCACTACCGACAAACTGGCCAGAGTGGGATTTGTACCCGTGACCTAGGGGACTGACGACCTATGAAGATGCCGCTCAACCAACAGATCACCATTGGCAAATTTTTGAAATATTAACTATTTAGAAATTAAATTAGTATTATCTTTGATGTGACATAAAAGATTTGGTGCTATGAATATAAGAAGTAAAATTTTTGTGTAAACTTATAAGGAATTGGATGTTTCTGTGTAAATATCTCATTTTTTTAATTGAATATTGCATAAGATTATTCATAGAACATTAACAAATTTTCATCATATGACATAAATATTGATGTGGTTAACATGAACCTTGAAGCATTTTTAGTAAGAAATATTCAAATTTAAATTAAAAATTAACTAGAGCTCTGATTTCATCAAACTTGTTGTCAAACCGATTGGCTCGATGAGACAAATACAATGACACTAAAATTAATCTAATATGAGTAGTCAAACAAATAATATAATAAAAAAGAGCGGCTTGATGAAACACATCCAACAAGCCCAAGTCCACTCATTTATCTCATCATTAAGGCACTAAAATATTCACAAAATGTCTTCTGATCTTGAGATTCACAATGATCGACCGATGGAGTGGCTCAAATTCCTTATTTACAGGAGATGCTACTCTCAAGTTTATAAAAGTAGCCTTATTCCCATCATGAAAATGAGGGGACATGACCCTGAAGGATAAGAATAAATTGAATTTCAATGTTGTTCTGAACTAAAGGCCTGACTTATGCTTTCCGCTACCGTCGACCGCCACTCGTTAGGTACTTTCGACCACCGCAAGCCGCCGTCGACCACAACTCGTCAGCCACTGTCGACCATGGTAGGTTGTACCCTGCTCATTGCAATGAAGCCCTTTATGGAGTCACAATTTATGTTGCAGAGTAATGAAATATTGTATAGAGTATTGAACAATGTTATGGAGTAACAAAACACACTATAGAGTAATGCATTTCCTCGTACACGGTGCAACGATGCACCTTGAAGAAGGTGCAATGATGCACTCGAAAGATGGAGCAACGATACACTCTTAATATGGAGCAATGATACACTTTGAAGATGTTGTGACACTTTGATAATGGTGTAACAAACCCAAAAATAACACAATGACACACCCCATAGATGATGTAGCAACGCACCTCGCATACGATGTAACAACATACTCCCATTATGAGATCATGAATAATGTTGTATCAAGGATCTAATGATAACTCCCAACAATAACTTCTTATAATCATTGTACTCAGAACACAATGACTTCAGAACTTTGAAGTTCTCTCCTCATGGCTCTTTACTATAGCATATGTGACCAACTACGACCCATGTGACTCACAACTTCTATTATAGCCTACATGTTCCACAACTTATATAGCTCTCAACTGTCGCCTCTGTGTCCTATGAACATTATCACTGCTCGCCACTACGGCTTTTATGACCAACTATGATCTACGTGGCTCACAACTTATGTAGCTCCCTACTCTACTTATGTGGTCCACATCTCACATGGCTCCCAACTTCTACCCATATGGCCTATGGACGATGTTGCAGCTCACTACTTTGGACCATGTAACTGATTATGACCTACATGGTCGACAACTCATGTAGCTCTCAACTTTGACCTTTGTGATCTTTGAACGTCGTTGCAACTCACAAGTATGACATATATAACCAAATATGGCCTATGTGGTCCTCAACTCGTGTAACTCCCAACTCTGATCTTTGTACCCTGTGAAAGTTATTATAACTCTCTGTTATGACTTATATGACCAACTACAACCTACCTGGCTCACAGCTCTTGCAACTCCCCACTCGAACCTCTATAGCCCATGGACGTTATTGCAACTCTCCACTACGACCTACGTAACCCCATAATTCATAGCTCATGCAACTCTCAACTTCAATCTTTGCGGTCTACGGATGTTGTTACAGCTCCTTGTTACGACCTACGTGACCAAATATGACATGAATCATATCTCATGTAGGTCCCAACTCCTACATATATGACCTATGAACATTATTGCAGCTCTTCACTTTGTCCTACATGACCAAATATGACTCACATGACCCACAACTCTTGTATCTCCCAACTCTGGCCTTTATGGCTTACGAATGTTGCTGTAACTCACCACGATTGCCCATGTGACCAATTTCAGCCTACGTTGCTCAAAGCTCACGGAGCTCTGAACTTCGACCTCTATGACCCACGAATGTTATTATAGATCCCAACTTTGACCTCTTCGACCAATGAACATTATTGTGGTTCAACATTATGGCTGATATGACTAACTACAGTTTAAATGGTCGACAGCTCATGCAACACCCAACCCCGACCTTCGTGTCCTATGGATGTTATTGCGGCTCACCATTACGACTTACGTGGACAATAACTTATGCGGCTTCCAACTCCGGCTTCTGTGGGATATGAAAATTTATGCAGCTCTCAAATTCGATTTATGTGGTCTACGAACGTTATCGTAGCTCGCCACTAAGACCTAACCAACTTCAACCTATGTGGCTCATAGCTCCTGCAACTCACTACTGTAACCTTTATGGATAAGTGACGCTTCTGAAGTAACAATCCATGACCTACATGACCAAATACTATCACATCATTTAACTAAAATCTCTACGAGCAATAAGCACTACAACCACTGTCAAAAACATTCACAAGGGGTTGTTGCCTTTATGGCAATCTTCTATGGCCTTTGCGACCCGTTACAGTTATTACAGTTGAATCACTATTTTACATCAACATTGTAATTCTATAATTCGTAGTTAAGAAGAAAAGTGAGTCCATATATTCTACTTATATAACGGACTACTTCCTTTAAATCAGACCCTGTGATTTTTTTTTTCTCTTTCTAGGTCTTTCCACATAAAAATTGTGGTCTCTTCCTGTCACATTTCATTTATATGAATGTTTGTTAGGTCTCATACTATACTAACACGCTAATTTATTACTCAACTGCCTTGAACCTTCCAACACACATCAATTATAAACTATTTTACGCTACTCATACTTTATTCTATTTCATACACCACCTTTTTTTTTCCTTTATTCTTCAACATTAACTTTTGATGTCCCTCTTGAGTGCACTTTACTCATCCAGCCTGAATTCATTTATCTTAATTACAAATTATTGTCATAACACTTATAATAGATAATTATCATTTATTTCCATTGCCTTTAACTTAATCATTAGTGATTTCTTTATTGCTAACAAACAAAAGAATAGATATAATATGGCTATTAGAAAATCCTCAGTCCACAAAAAAAAAAACAAATAGGGAGATTTGCATACATACTAGTCATTTCTTATGTATTTCCATATCTAATACCCATACTTTAATTTTTACATATATTCCACCTTATTTATGCATTAAAAAAGTGTATTTCACTTTTCAAGAGTTAAAGTGGTATTATTGGTGTCATATGAAAGATTTGGGGCTATAAATGTAAGGAGAAAAATTTACGTGTTGGATGTGTAAATACGTGGTATGAGTGATAATGACATTAAATTGCGTAACTAATGTTCTATGTTTTGGGTAGGGAAAAACTAGAATGTAATTAAAATCTTCCATATATTATCACTATTTGGCTACTTGAATTACAATTTCAAGTCCATGAACACATATATGTAACAATTCATACAAAAATACCTAAATTCACACGCACTATCATGATTCATCATAATAATAAAAAAAAGCCTATAGTACAATTTTTAGTAAAAGCTCAACATATAACATATTATTTCCACACCATAACATCTCAACAAGTTGTGATATCTCACTTTTTATTTTATCATGCAACATTAATGATGATTATCATAAGCTGTTTTTTAAAGTATGATGATAGCCTTACAATAACAACATGTCATAATTAAAAAAAATTCTTATATCTAGCTATATTTAAGTTTTACTTGGTAACATTCTTGACTATTTTTACTGAGTTATTTTTGTAACATCACAGGTGCTTTACGACAAAGAAATAGGAAAGAGCAAAGGAATTGCACTTGTTACCATGAGTACCATGCCTGATTGTGAATCAGTCATCACCAAGCTTAATGGATTTGTTGAGTACATCTTGTTCTCATATGTGTCAACGTGTAGCATGCGTATCAATCCTCTATAGATAATTACATGGATATAGTTGATCAGTTCATTTGGCTTAGTGGTTGGGTATCTTGCTTCTAGCATTATGGCCTTGAGTTTTAATCTAACACATTCATGTACATTTGTGGACTTAAAATAAATAAATTACACAAATAGAAGTGTTATCATATGGTTATTTGATCATGTGATTCTGTTCAAAGTAACTCTGACTGAATTGAAATATAAGCTACTTCAACTTCATATGATTGTAAAGGAGTAATTTCATTTATGCAATTACTCACATGACTCATGCTCACGATTAATTTCTAAATGAGCAATTTTTTCATCATTTCAGCAATACGATGGTAGAGCACTAAGGGTTAAATACTATGATAAAGCAAAGCCTAGAACACCTCTATACCTTGAGAGCAAGTTCAAGCTCTTCGTAGGCAATCTCTCATGGTCAGTAACCTCTGAGGCTCTAAAGCAGGTGTTTAAGGACTACGGTAACTTGGTCAGTGCTCGTGTTATTTATGATGGCGAGACTGGTCGATCTCGTGGCTTCGGCTTTGTTTGCTTCTCCACCAAGGAAGAGATGGATGCTGCCATGGATTCCCTCAATGGACTGGTAGGAAATCAAATTATAAGCACTTATTTTTCATTTTTTTATATATAATGCTAACTATATAACAAAAATAAAAGGAATCCAAAACAGTATTTAAGAGTTCATTTGATTTGTTGAATGTATGGAATTGCAGTATAAACTAAATATAGTTGATTTGATCTCATTCCCTTTGCAATAGATTTTAGAGAAAAATAGGTAATAATGTAGTTGTTTGATTTGTGTTTGTTGTGTCTGCAGGAGTTGGAAGGAAGGGCTTTGAGGATAAGCTTAGCATTGGGGAAGAAGATTTAATTCATTTTGTGTTATCTGCATCAGCAAGCTGGATTTTATAGAAGGATAAAAAAAGTTCAAAGATGATAAACTAGGTTTTGCAATTAAGTTGGCTGGTTTGTGCACTGATTGAAATTTGGCTGGGCAAACAAGTCAAATTTGAATATGCACTGTACAAAATCAGAAACTAGGTCATATAAAATATATTGAGATAAATAATTCTTCTAGAATTTAAGGCTGAAGAAATAAAGTTTTTTTTTTATTTTAAGAATCCCAACTTCTTTATTTTTTTATGATGATTATAGATTTATTTTTTTGTTTAATTTCTCACTATTTTTATGATACAATTGTTGAAACCTCTTTGAAATATTTATTTTTGTTTGGGTATTTACATAAATACCCATCAATTCTTATGTATTATGTATACTCAAAACGGTATGCACAAATCTCGAGGTAATCTGAAGTTCGCTCTACCCTCTGCCAAGTAATGGACTTTTCCTCCGATAGAGGACTTTTACCTTCAACTACAGGTGTAAACAAGCCAAACACGAGTGATTCTCAGCTCGTGTTCGACGTTATATTCGAGTTTAAAAAGTGTGTTCGTGTTCGGCTTGTTTGCTTAACGAGCCGGACACGAGGTGTTCGCGACGCGAACAAAGAGCCGTTTTGACAATCCTAATCACGTAGCCATGAGATGGGGTTGAAGGCAATATTTAAAAATTATTGTTTATGTTAAAACATCATTTAAATCTAATTTAATAATATTTATTCTATTTTCTTAATTAATACTTTTGATTGATTATAAATCTTTGTAGCCTTGTAGTAAATTAATTATTTTAAGAATACTACTCATCAAATTATATATAAAGAGAGAGAGAGAGAGAGAGAGATAAATATAATTGATGAGTAGTGTTTTGAGCCAAAACTAGCCGAACAAGAGCGAACAAATCATTGTTCGTGTTCTGCTTGTTAATTTAGCGAACAAGTCGAACATGAGCTTCTCAACGAACCGAACATGAGTTGTTCACAAACAACAAGCCGTTTTGACAGCCCTACCTTTAACAGAAGACTTTTCCCTCGATGAAGGACGTTTCCTTCCGACGGAGGTCCTTTCCCTCCTACGAAGGATTCGGACGGAGGACTTTTCCCCCCAATGGAGAACTCATACGACCGACTCTCCCTCCAACGGAGGACTCAAACTACATAAAAGAATAAAATATCATGTTTTCCCTCACCTATAATAACTTACACAAAAGAATGAGCTATCATTTCTAAGCAAGTATAATATTGTAATTTACTGTTGGCCCTCGTATCATCTATAAATAAGAGAGTCATTTCATGTAATGAGACTTTTGGGTTTTCCCTCACATGTAATGACTAATGTTATGGAAGCCCTAGGGGAGTCTCTCTCTCTCTCTCTCTTTATCTCTTTCCTTTTCTCAATCTTCTTTAATTGGTCAACGCTTTATTCCTTAAGCATGATCAACCGGACATATTAGAATTCAACTTCATTAAATGTGCGGTGAGCGTGAAACGTGTCATTAACAAGAAGATGAGCAATACTGGGCAAGAATCTTTTAAATAGACGCCCCCAACAAAAAGCATAATGAAAACTTGCACAATATTGAATTATCCTTCTCTCATAGATCTGTGCATACACTCCAATTCCGGATTTGGAAACCATCTATCGACCTCGCCAAACCTACTTCAAAGCTCAATCACACGGACCTTTGGCCAACATTTACTCTCGACAGAAGTACAACAACTCTTCATCTCTCTGATATCTACAGTGTGCAATCTGCCTTCGGTGAATTGTCTACCCTCCTCCAAGAAGAAAACTTTTCCTACAACGGAGGATTTTTCTTCCAACCGAGAGCTTTTCCATCGGTAGAGAATTTTACCTCCATTGTCTGACTTTTGTCCCAACTTAAAACTTCTCCTTTGACGAATCCCTCCGACAAAAAATACCAGACAGACAAATCCTGCAAAAGAAGACAAAGATATCAGGACCGAGCACGACTAACGCCTAACAAGGAGTAACATTAGCATATTATGTGTTCAAGAATTATTTGACTTATAAACTTCATTGTCCTTATTGCAGTTGCCACTATCAAGGAGCAAAAAAATTGTGTAACTTAATATGTAAACTAAAAAACGACCTGCATAAATATCGAGGCAATCTGAAGGACCGCTCCTGTTAAATTGACTACCCTCCGCCAAGCTGAGGACTTTTCCTCTGATGGAGGAATTTTCCTCTAACAGAGAACCATTCCCTCCAACGAAGGATTCAGATGGAAGGCTTTTCCCCCCAGTGGAGGACACAGAAGGCCGACTTTACCTCCAACGGAGGATTCAGACGAAGAACCATTTCCCTTGACGGAGAGCTCAACGACCACTTTCCCTCCAATGGGAGATTCATACGGAGGACTTTTGCATACAACAGACTTTACCTGCAGTGGAAGATTCCGACGGAGGAAATTTCCTCCCAACAGAGGACTCAGACGACCCTCTTTTCCTCCAACGGAGGATTTAGATGGAACACTTTTACCCCCAACATAGGACTGACGAAAAACCTTTTCCTCCGATCGGCCACCAAAACCCAACAACTCCCCTAACAGAAAAACACCAAAATGACAGGAGATACCCCATAGGAGACACCTACATAAACAACTAAAATATGGTGTAGTCTCCTTTTTAAGTAAGGGTAGTATTATAATTTACTTTTTGTACCTCCAATCATCTATAAATAAAATGACCGTTTCGTGTAAAGGGACTTTTGGGTTTTTTCTCACTTGTAATAACCAATTTTATGGAATAAGATGTGTCGGAGAGCCCCGGGAACACCTCTTTTCCTTCTGACGGGGAAGTCTCTCTCTCTCTCCCTCTCTCTCTCTCTTCTCTCCTCACTTTTTCTCAACTATCTTTCCTCAGTTTAACCATTTATTCCTTAGGCACAGCCTATCAGATAGATTTGAATTGAACATATTAGTATATCTAACACCAAAGTTTTAAGGTTTTATATTTATACTACCAAATTTTTTAATATCATATAAAAAATATTATCGATTTAACTCTTGAAAAATGAAACACAGATTGTTGTGCATGAATAAGTTGACATGCATGCAAAAATTGAACTTTAGGCGTCAAGATATGCAATTGCATAGCGAATGAGTTGTTTTGGTATGCATGTAAATCTTGCTTTTTTTTCTTTTTCATCGAAGGATGAGTGGTACTCATTAAATTATTTTCATTCTCAATTAGTTTGTCAAGCTGAGCTCAAACTAGAGCCAATTTTAATTTCACGCTCCTTCAACAGTATCACTGTCACAATTAGAACTGTTACAAGTGTATTAAGAGAAATGAATTTTTACGTGCAAATCACTGAAAACATTAGATATAATATTTTAACTATCCAAACTTTAAATATAATATTTAACAACTCAAAATTTTCACTAAAAACCTTCATGAACGGATATAGGAGGATGATTGCGATGAAAAAAGTGATTAAAATAGTATATTTTATATTATATATAAAATAAGTTCTTTTATAAAAAATATTTATTAGATAGAAGCAGTTGATAATTTGATATAAAATAAACAGTTTGATACGTCTTAAAATAAATATGAATTAAGATAATAAAGCTAAAAAGAACATTGCATTTGAACTGCTATAATTTCTATTGAATCATGAGTGCAAGTCTTACGCCCCATTTGAAACAGCTTTATTGCAATGCTTTCTATTTTAAAAGTAAGAAAATAATCTCTCTATACTATCTTAATGCAATACTTCCTTTTCAAACAAATTTATCGGACTCCATTTCGATATGTTTTTAGAAGTTATTCCAGGGGCGCTTTTGCAGTGTAAAGCTGCATTTGGACATTTTAGTAGGACCCCAACATCAAACATTCTCTCTAGAAATTATAGGTGTGTGTATATATATATATTTAAAAAGAAATGGTTGAAGACTGTTATACGAGCCCCGACCATCCCTCATGCGCCAAGCATTTGAGTTCCACATCCTACACTCGGGGGGAATCGAACCCCAGATCAGAGGAGACTTACTACTTACCCTAAACTCTAATGGTCGAAGGCTATAGATATAGAGATTGAACCAGGAGTTGAGAAAAGAGTGTTCCCTAGAACAAAGGTGTTCTAAACTTCTACCGAGAGGCGATGGGTCATTTCAAGTGGTGGAACACATTGATGACAATGTATAGTATAGTGTTTGTGCTAACTTTAGTGTTTGTGACTTATCTCCTTTTAATATATGTGATGATTTGAGGACAAATCATTTGCAAGAGGGTGAGAATGATGCAAATGGAGCTACCCTCGGGCATGATGGGAATTTACATGGTCATTTGTCTCTTCCAAGTTGGGCAATCACAAGTCTTAGAGTAAACTTTCAAAAAAGCTTTAAGTGGGCTAGCCCAATAAATTAGCAAAGTGACTCACATGGAGGTCCGATAAGAGTCCAAAATAAACTCAAGTTTGCTTAGTCAATATGATTAAGGTTCTAGAAGGGTTTCATTGAGCGGAAGGCATTTTTTATGAATTTTAGAAGACCAAGATATTAAATTTGCAATCTCAAGAAGTGTGCCTATTTTTTTTAGTGCATGTGAGCCCCATAACATTAAGGGTATGCCTTATTATCATTACCCTACTATATTTGTTATGTTATTTTCGGTTTTACTTATGAAACAAAATCCTTATATATATATATATATATATATATATATATA